CTCGCTGCTGCTGCTGAGCCTGGAAAACAGAGGGGAGGGGAGAGGGGAGATTCCTGGTTGTGCCGACAGCCCTTAGATAGGCCTGAGTGAACCAATGTACAGGCAGGATCTCCCTCGCGCCCCGCCCCTCCCAGATGACCCCGCTCACAACAGGCCGCCCTTCCCCGGCATGTAGAGTTGGAAGCCAGTGTTAATATTTAAAGGGCTCGGTCCTGCTGCCACCGAGACGTGGCTGGAGCCCCAGGGGAGACCTCCCCAGCTGACTGCTGGCCGAACACCAGTACAAGAAGTCTCCGGGGCCCGTCACTGCAGGGGCTGCACCCAGGACCATGATCCTCAGGGTGGCAAAGGGACGGGCATGAAGGGGTTAACATGGGGGGCTGGGCAATGATCTCAAAGCCCCCCCGTTCCCCCTTCCCCCATCTTAACAGCCCAGCACAACCCATCTCCCCCTAACACCGCTTGGTTGCTCCCACCCGCTGGGGATGGCCTGGAGTGACCCCCATTCTGGGCCCTTGGGGTTCGGGCCCCCTGGGACGGCGTCGGTGCTAGTAAATCTCACCCCTTGCGGTTGGTGAGGCTGCCTGCAGCGGGGGTAGGGGGGGGTTGCGGGCTGCCGTGTACCCAGTGCTGGGATGGGGGGGTCCTAGAGCAGGCCGGCTGCAGGCCCAGGCCCCAGGCCACTGTCTGCGGCTCACCTCAGCTTGAAGACGTGCTTCTTCTTCTTGTAGCCGGTGGCCACCTGGCAGAGGGCGTTCCACAGCTGGAAGGGCTCCTCCCCGTGGTAAGGCACTCCCAAGGCCAGGCTCTTGGCATCCTTGTAGAAGGCCAGCTCGCTTCTCCGGAGCACGCAGTACAGCGTGGCCCAGGACCTGCGGGCCAGGCCGGCGGACATGCGGTTACTCCAGTGGAGCAGCCCTCACACGCACACCGAGCCAGACACCCACACGCCCAGGGGCTGCTGCTGGCGGGGGACCTGATGATGGGCTGGCGGGACCCATGCGGGAAGAGAATTCGGAGGGGCTGGTGACTCTCGATGAGTTCCCAGGCCTGGAAGCTGGTGCTGGACACACCCAGAGTAGAGAGAGGGCCCCGGGTTTTCCCAGGGAGGGGAAGAACGCTCACAACCGCAGGCGGGTTTCCCATCGCTCGCAGCCTGGCTTCTCCTGGTAAAAGCCCCACTCCGGCCCAGCCAGGAGTAACAGGGTTCTTGCCCTGGCTGGGGATCTCTGGTCTGCCTCGTCCCATGCCGGAGTCTCAGGCAGTTGGGCTGAAATGGGTTCTGCACAGATTTCAATTCCTACAGCAGAGCTCACTGGGACAACCAGCCAGCGACGATGGATCTATCACCACCCCGGGCCCTGTGGTTCCCCGCTGCCTGTATCTAACC